ATATATATATATATATATATATATATATATATATATATATAACCATTCCAAAACACAGGGAAGGGAACGTAGTGAGGAAATACTGGACCAAAAGCAAGACTGAAAACTAGCTGGACAAACTCCAAACTCTGCATCTCCATGTCTGATGTCAAAACACTTTTCAAATCTCCAACTCCTTTCAGTTTTGTTGACTGCAGCACACTTCTTTCTCCTGGGCTGGTTCTACTCCTGTTGTTAGTAGCTTTCCTTGGCAGGTATACTGCAACACACACACACACACACACACACACACACACGTGTCCTGTCCTCATTGCTAGACAAAACAAAGCATTTTCATTCTTAATGTTTGAATATAATAAATACTAATTTGAGTTGAGGACCTATTGACCAGAAAGTAAAAAACAACAACAACAAAAAACTATTAAGTAAGGTGTTGGGTCCTCTGGAGCTTCAACAACAGGAGGTGGAGAGCCACCATGGGGATTCTGGGAACTGAACCCAGTCCTGTTAAGGCAGCCAGGGTTCAAGACCACTTATTTTCAAATGAAAAACGTTCAAGTTGAACAGCAACGAAGCTGGGGCCGGATGGCTGAAATAATAATTTTTGTTTAAGAATACATTTTCTTTAAAAATAAATGTTTTTTTTTTCATTACTGGGTGTGGTGGCACATTCCTGTAACCCCAGCACTCAAGAGGTGGGGCTGGGCAGAGCTCTGTGAGTTGGAGACCAGCCTGATTTAGAGAGTTCCGGGCTATCCTGGATGGCACTGTGAGGCTGTGGCTCGAAGAAAACATTTAAAAGGAATTTTATATAAGTAACACGTGAGCATAGTGTCAGGGTCAAAAGAATCTGAAAAGGTACACACAGGCCAGTGTGTTCTCTCTGTCCAGTGTTCCCACTCAGTCTTAGCCCCCCTGTGGTGACTTCTTAGGCTACTGGCTTTCCTTCTGGTGTGTTTCACTAGGTCCTGCACCATGGGAGACCACTTTCTGTCTATCCCAATCTTTTAACCCTCGGTAAACCAGCAAGGCAGTTTGCAGACGCACGTTGCATCTTTTTGCCTCCAGATGCTTTCATTTACCCTTAACGAGCCTTGATGTAGGTCGCGTGGAAATAGAGTCAGGTGTGTTTGAGGGGCCTCTAGGACTTGGAGGCTTCTGGGTAAATATCCTTTGCAAGGCCCCGCCCTCGTGATTTTAAGCTGTTTTACAGATTCCTTGAGCTCCTACGGAGCGGAGCGCTTTATCCCTGAAAGTGTAACGCCACGGGAAGAAAGGAGGTCTTAGGGAGGGAGTCGTGAACCCACAGGACTACACCGCTCCGTGGGCGGAGCAGGAAAAGTGGATTCCCACCGTGGAGGCACGGGAGAGCAACAGCGGGAGTCCTGCCAGGTTTGAGGGGTTACGTCGGGGCAGGCGGTGGGCGAGTTATCTGGGGCAGCCTGGGAAGCCGTGCGAGGCTTTGATCCGCGGGAGTCTTGTTTGAGTTAAGAGAGAAGCAGTCTTCCTTCCGGAGCTGGGGGGCTGTAGGTGGACGGTAAGAAAGTAACGCCTTTCCTGGCAAACAAGCCCTCTTGACAAGGTTTCTAGGAATGCTGATTTGGAGTTGCAGTCCACTTTACCTGTTGGTCCAGCCCCAGCCGAGCCCAGGCTGCAACCCACCCACGACCCTTTCAGTGGCACAGCTGTATGGGGGCTGGAGAGGGGCCCACTCTGGACCTAAGAAGAGACACTTTGGCATTGGAGTTTTGTCCAGTGAGCACAAGTGAATAGTCAGTGTCCAGGGACCAGTCCCCCTCCGGCCACGGGCTGCCTCACTCTTGGGTTGTTGGTCTTTTCTTCCTGACTTACAAGAGTTCTGCAGAGGTGAGGGAAGTGGGCCTTTAATGAGTGACCTGTAGCTGTCGGGTACAGCAGCCCATTGAACACAGCTGTGGCTGGTCGAGTGAGTGTCGTCCATACAGCTGCACCGCCTAGCTGTCTAGTCCTTTAAGGAGTGGCGCCGCCCGCCGGCATTGGGAACTCAATGGTAAGGCTTGGACTGGGAAAGTAAAGGAGGAATTAGTGTTGATGACGTAACAATGAGGTGGGACCTGGGGGACACAGGTGAACACCCCAACACTGAGAAACTGAGAAGAAACGGGGGTAGTGGAAGACGAGCTTCAGACAGTGTAGGGAAAGACGCATGGGCAGACCCCGGAGGTAGAGTTAGAGATAGCCAAGCGCTCTCCCATGTCATGAGGTCACATTTAGCCCCCTGCTTTGCATTTTGTTGTTGTTGTCTTTCGAGACTAGGTTTCTCTATGTAGCTCTGGCTGTCCTGGAAATTGCTCTGTAGACCAGGCTAGCCTTGAACTCAGAGATCTGCCTGCCTCTGCCTCCCCCTGGCTTGTTATTTTGGTGGAAATTAATCACTAGATTTAGCACAATCCTGTTGGTGACCTGGATGAATGTACTTTCAGTGAACTGGTTGGGACGTGTCACTGTCCCAAGGGCATGTGACAACAGAACACTCAGCTTCCTGCCACTGAATGCGGCTAGAAATGTAAAGCCGGAGCAGAGTGGGCATGTGTCTTTCACAGCTAATATTCCTGCGGAAACGAAAGAGGACACGGGACACGACAAACGAACCCATGTGTATGAGTTTATTAAGAGGGAAGGGACAGAAAAGAAGGAGCCCAGGAATGGCGCCCTTAGATTTTTAAAGGGATCCCAGCACATGCATAGTGACTTGATAGCAAGCAGCCAGCGCATGTGCTCCTGGGAAATGTAGTTTCCCTGGAGAATAACATTTCCACGCTTTTTGATTTGTTAAAAATTTTTGGGGGGGAGGGTTAAGGGTCTTAATGGGTAGGGAATGGGGGCATAGCCCAGTCTCTCTTAAGTGCTTCCTGCTGACTTTGTGGGCGTCGAGAGGTTTGGGGTGTCTGATGCATTTTTGTCTGGTCCCATCCTGTCCGCTGGGGTCCTGGAATGGCTGATTGAAACTGCATTTCTTCAGGTCTTGAGGAACTGGGTCATCTGATGGCTTGAACCTCGTAAGATGCTGGAAAGACAAAAGTCACATTTAGGAGAGGAAAAATTAAATTAATAAAGGGGAGATTTATTGAGATGGGGGGGGGCTTAAGGGTTTCCGAGACTAAGAATGACAGAGAAAGAATTAAATGGTGGATGGGAGGGGGCTGATGACAGAGAGAATTAAATGGTGGATGGGGGGGGGGTAGGGATTCTCAACACCAGGAATGATAAAAAAAAATTAAATGATATTTATTCCGTTCAAGTCTGGTCCGTTTAGGTGGATCAAGCTGGCCCCTGGAGCTTAAAAAGATGTCTTAAAAGAAATAAATTTTAGATATTTTAACCGTGCATGATTAGGATAATGGAGTGTATCCTGGGTATTACCTTAACATCCAGGAGACCCTGCTGCAGTCAGTGGCGAACCTGTTATGTCAAGGGACTTGTTAAGATTTTTCTGACCACCTGGAACTTTGGCTCTGTGTCTGATGACGATTCCTATAACAATAGCTAAGTGATTATTTAGAAATCTAAACATGACATGGGAGGTATTTGGATATGACAGTTTTGTACCTTTGGCTCCGTGTCTGATGATGATTCCTGTAACAACAGCTGAGTGGTTATTTGGAAATTTAAACATGACATTGGAGGTATCTGGACATAACACACATAGGAAAAGGAGAAGGGAGAGTATGTTGGCACAAGAGAGTTAAATGAAGGATGGGACCTCTATTTCTCTTGGACTGGAGTAAGGGGAGCTGAACTTGGTGTCCTCTGGAACCTAAGGGAGCAGGGTCCTGTCTGAGTCACTGTGTACGAGGGATTATCTTGAGCTGGAGGAGTAAATGGTTTAAGATGTGACAGGTGACTCCAGTGAGAAATTCCCTTGAGCTTGTCAGCCATGGGAGTTAAGAGAATTACTCTGAGGGGATTCTGCCATTTAAGGGGAAAGGGTGAGGGACGTTGACCTGGGGGAGAAAATAATACCTGATCTCCTATTTTAATCAGCGGTGGGCATGGGTTAGCACATGGTTGAGGTAATGAGTGGTCAGTAAAATCCCATAGTAAAGTGCGTAAATGAGTTAGTAGTGGAGTATCAATTTTATAATTTAAAAAGTGCTGGAAGATCCCCCACAGAGCAGCTGCAAGCCCAGTGGGTCCCGAACTGCTCGTGGTGGGTCCCGGGAGAGCGGGGACGGGCTGGTCCCACCATGCGGCGAGCGGGTGTGAGCAGGCGGCTAGAAGGCACATGGGCAGGCACATCACATGGGCAGACACATCGTACAGAATAGAATTGGATATTTATTACTTAGAGGAGAGAAGAGGAGAGAGACAGACAGACAGACAGACATGCCCAGAGGGGACAGAAAAAGTGAGTCCAAGATGGCGGGGCAGGAGTTTGGGCTCCCCCCCCCTCCGGGAGTGGGCGTGGCTTGCCCCTTAAAGGGCCAAAAGAATAACAACAGCCGTATGCCATGGCTCAGGGCCAGGCAGAGACAGAGAGCTCTGTCTAGTCAGAGTGGGGCCCCATCAAGAAGACTGATGGCCCAGGGCTCTGAGAGGGATGGTGGAGCACAGGGGAGCAGTGGGCTGGAGGTGCGGCTGCCATCAGGGCCCAGTTCCCACGTCCAATAAACACGGGGAGGGGCAGCAGACCAGCTGGACCCTTCCGGGGGATTTCCAGACATGTTCACTGTTCTGCAGCTGACAGGGTAATTCACAAAGAAACCACCACAAAGAAGCACAAGGATAGGGCTTCTCACATTTTATTCTGACTTGGGTTTACAATAGTTCCAAGGTGCCAGAGACCACTATCAGTGGGTAAATTATACCTTAGATGCAGGGAAGGAAGGGACGCCCCACCACTGAGAGACTTTGAAAGGACTCATTTGGCTACATCATGAACAGTTTATGGTGTGAGGTTGTTTGATGTCTCCACAAAGGTACATCATGTGTTTCTATTTTATTAGATTCTAAGAAACTCTGGAAATTTCAAAAAAAGGTGGATGGCCAAGAATAAAAAAATATGATTTTTTTTAAGCTATGTGTATAATGTGCCTGGTAAATTAGTGGGAAAGAAGTTTTGGAAAGGTAGGATTTTGTGTGGTATAAAAATACTGTTTACCTAAGACTGATAATAAATTTTATGCGTAAATAAAACTTGTAAGACTTTCAAAGATCTGCAATTGTTTTTTAAAGAAGTGTGTATCCCTTTTCAATTCATTTGCCCATTACGTGTGTCTTAGAGGTTCTGCTGTTCTGACAAAGGCTGAGCATCAGCCGTGCACTGTCCTGTGACACCGGAGGTGGAGGAAGAGGGTTGGTGCTGAGCGGCTAGAGGAAATGAAGCATCACCAGGCGGTGGTGCACGCCTTTAATCCCAGCACTCAGGAGGCAGAGGCAGGGGGATCTCTGTGAGTGTGAGGCAGCCTGGGATACAAAATGAGTACCAGGACAGCCAGGGCTACATAGAGAGGACCCTGTCTTGAAAAATAAAAACAAAACAACAACAAAAAGAAAGAAACGAGGCATTATTCTTTAGTCTAAAGTCTTCATTACAAGATGGAAAATATTTTATAAGGTAAAGCATTTATTATTTCATCTGCAGTCTCTCTGACCCTAGGACCATGAATAGCTCAGAGTTGGCTGTGCTGACCACCAAGACACATAAGGTGGAGGCGTCCCTGCAAGCAGTCTGAAAGACTAGTAACACTGGCCCGGACTTTCTCCAGCCGGCTTCCTCTCTGGTACCTAGGTGGATATTCTTGGTGCATTTGGGGGTGGGGCAGAGCTGTGCATAACAAAGTCTACTGATCTAGAACAATCTGGTCACTCTGCAGCTGTGCAATCTTAAAATGTCACTCTGCACCCCCGTGACCCTGCTATAAAATATAGATGGGGACTCTAGACTCCATTTAATCCACAGCAAGACAATGCTGTCAGCATTTGCGTGTGCTTTGGAATGCATGGCACAGCAGCCTAAGACTGCTGGCCAGCACTCACACTGGGGCTTACTCTGCATGTTTTGTGAGTTAAAGATTCCCAGTAGGCTAAGGCAGGTGGAGCTCCAGTTTAGGCCTCACCTGGGATACCGAGCAAGACTGTCTCGAAACAAAAGAACATACAGCCCAAATGCAAAACCCAAATTCACAAATACTTTATAATAATATTAAAGGTAGTATCGATTTCTTAAAACATAAAATAATCATTGCAACTACATATTCATCAACATAAACTTTAAGCTTATTTTATCATAGTGTTCACTCTGTGACGTGACTCTCTAAAGGAGCAGTCCCAAAATTAGTTCAAACTATGCCTTCAAAGTTTGATAAGGCAGAAGAATTAAATGAAGTTTAAAAATGAGCAAAAATATATAACTCTAAACCACAGCCTCCGTAAAGACTGAGTAAGAATACTTCCTCAATACATAGCAAACCACCTGCTAGTTACACAACACAAACTCACCATGACGATCAACGCCATGTGACTTTATTCCCTCAGCAGCTTAAATTATTAAATATTCAATGGTCTTAAAGATTGCACTGCGGTTTCCTTAAGTGCTGAGTGATCTAAAAGAGCTTCCTACTGACTAGCCAGGTGCCAGTCCAGTGCACAGGATATTGGCCGGAGTTTCAGAAAAATGTTTGAGATGGTCTCTGCAGATGAAGCCCATGATGAGATGCTAATGAGGTCGGCCAGAACTTCTCCTTCAGAGGGACAACTAACAGGCAGGGTGCCTTACAGAGCCACAGGGCTGCCTGCTCTTCCCAAACCTTAGGTCTGCGTTACATCAAACGGTACTTATTGTAGAAAAAGCAATTATTGTGTCTCTCTGTGTCGTTTTCTCTGGTTGTTGTCTGTCTCTTTTTGCATATGCACACACACACACACACACACATTCATACATGCTCAAACACATGCTTACACATTCTGGAATGCAGGCCTACCTACACACTCACACACATTCACATATATGCATACATACACATGCACACATGCACACACGCACGTGCACACACACACATGCTCACACATGCTCAAACACATGCTTACACATTCTGGAATGCTGGCCTACCTACACACTCACACACATTCACATATATGCATACACGCACATGCACACACGCACGTGCACACACACACACACACATGCTCACACATGCTCACACATGCTCAAACACATGCTTACACATTCTGGAATGCAGGCCTACCTACACACTCATACACGTTCACATATATGCATACATACACATGCACATTTGCTCGCAGGCACGCAACGTGCACACACACACACGCACGTACGTGCACACACACACACACACACACACACACACTATCTTGTGCCCACAAACACAGCTCAACTCATCTTCTGCTTTGAGGACTGTTTTCTAAATCAGATCAAAGCTTTCCAACCCATGAATGAGCGAAGGCCCAGTGCTTTAGAATCGGGAGGACAGAACCGAAGCCAGAGGACTGCAAGTCCAAGGCCTGCTGGGGCAGTGCGGTCAGCCCCTTCTCCCAAGACAGAAAGTAAAAATCGACCTCAGGGGTTACCTGTTGAGAATGGAAATGAGACGAACACTGGCAGTTTCTGGCACTGAACAAGAGCAGAAGTCAGTCTGTCGTTATGCTCAGCAGGACAAATGTAGTCAGCTTAGGAATCGGTGACTGCCAACCTCAGCTCCCACGGAGGAGGGCAAGCTCGGCTGGTGCCTTCAGGTCATGGTATCTTTGCAGCGGGACACAGCCGTGAGACAAAGCCCGCTAAAGCTCCCTGGCCTCTAACCTTGCATTACAACTTAATAGTAAAGTACATGTCTGCTAGGTCTGTGGTTTGAAAACAATTCATTGTAAACATCCTATATTCTTTCCTAAGTGATTTTAGAGTGTGAGCTTGTATCTCTGTCTGTGTCAAATTATTTATTCTACAAAAAGCAGCACAAATACCGTTCATTGTGGTTCCAGCACAAATTCCTTAAAAAGTACATTAAGGCCATGTATGGAGTCAGGGTGAACTGCAGACGACCCTGGCGTAAGTCACACAACTGATGAAGAGCTTTGGGGGTGGGAAGGGCAGCAGTGGCTGCCTCGTGTTCTCCTCCGGGTGACCCTGCAACAGCTTCGAGGGCCCGTTAGTCCCCCACGTCACCATCGCGGTCTCCAATAAGCCAGAGAAAATGGAAACTTAAGGCCAGCAGAGCTGTCCCAAGCAGGTCACCCAGTGCCGTCAGGTAGGGGATGGAGAAACTGTCCGGGTCCTTCCCTTTCCTCCAGAAGCGATGGACCATCCAGTCGGCGATCCACAGCAGGGTGAACACCTGTAAGAGAGAACCAGGCATGACCACTGTCATCTCCCTGCATCTCCTTGCCCTTAACACGGCCATGGGTCTGAGCTGCTTGTTTCTGGGAGGAACAACATATGTCTGGGTCAAGAACCATGCTTGAGAAGAGACAGCTAATTAACAGGAATGTAATCTTTTCCTAACAAGAAAAGCCTGGATTCCAGAGGCTAACGCATCCCACTTGTCACAAGCAGCGTCTTGCCTCCATCCAGCTGTGGTGTGTGGCGTTTTCTTCTCTGGAAAACACATACAGCACCAACCTCTGCCTCGGGCTTCAAATGGCCAAGGACAGCCATTCTAGCTCTGGCCCCTTTACCAGGAAGGAGGGTGGCTTGTCCAAATCTGAGAGACAGGTTCTAAAGGTAAGATCCCCAGGGGTAAGAGCCAGAGACGGCACGCTCTGGGCCCTGGCACCCTTGCATGAGGCTTACTTTCCTTACTGCTCCACTGGCAAAGGTCGCCTGGCAACCACATCAAGCTAATTCAGATGCTGTTTTGAGTGTGTAGGAAGCGGAGAATATTAGAATCTTGAACTTATGTGCTCCAAGATTTGGAATTTGGCTTGTAAGTTCAGCACTTGAGAGACAAAGCAGGATTGCTATGAGTTCATAGGTCACAGAGTGAGTTCAAGGCCTGATCTATGGTACATAATGAAATTCTGTCTCAAAACCATTGGATTTGAATCTCAGTTTGTTCTTCTGGCAGGTTCCTTATTAATCTGAGTGTCTATCTTATTTGAAGAAAACAAAACAAAACAAGCCTCAAAGCAGAAAGATACAAGAATCCCAGACCAGCTGCCAGAGCCAGCGGCTTGTCCTGCCTCAGAGCACCACAAGCTTTAGACCCGGTTCCAGGAGCTGGCTGGTCTAGAAGAAACGCCTCTGCTCCAAAAAGGCACTCGCCTTGCACCTCCTCCAAACCCAGAAAATACACCATGACAGCCACTGCCAGACGCAGCCCCCGCCATCAGCCAAATGCCTGGCTTGCCGGAAGCCTTGGGTCAGTGTGGGCCTCACTTGGTGGAAGAGTCCCCTCTGGCATTCCGTAGCCTTAAGACTAGCTGCAATAGCTAAAATCCTGAGTTCACCTACGCTGGCCCCAAACGAATTAGGGAATGCCTCCTCCCCCGCACCAACACCGACCATAATGGCCACACAGCAAGCCAGGGCCCCGAAACCAAATTCAACTTATCACCTACTTCTACAAATAAAGCTTTATCGGAACTCAATTCCATCCATTCCTTTGCTTACCTCCTTATTAGTCTACTTTGTAATCCTTACATTTTGTTACTCCCAAGAGTCACTTGGAAACACTGTGGCAGAGAGTTAAAACACCTATGCAGTTGTCACAGAGGAGAGGCAACCCACGGCATTTCAGGAATTTATTATCTGGCAATTTACGGAGAAAGGTGTGGACCTATCCACAAACACGTGACACCGAAAAATAGGAAATAGCTAATCCTAGCGTGCTGGAGTTCAAGGTCAGCTTGGGCTATATAAAAAGATCCTGAATCAAATGCTACCACCTCTCTCTCTCTCTCAAAAAGAAAAACTAAGAAAAGAAAGCTGGGTGGTAGTGGCACACACCTTTTATACCAGCACTTAAGAGGCAGAGGCAGGGGGATCTCTGTGAGTTTGAGGCCAGCCTGGTCTACAAGAGCGAGTTCCAGGACAGGCTCCAAAGCTACAGAAAAACCCGCCTCGAAGAAAACCAAAAACAGAAAGAAGGAAAGAAAACAGGAACTGCCGCCATTCCCCAGAACCTTGACAGAGTCTCTACAATGAGCCACTGTCACCAACCTCGTGGGGCTGGTTGCAGCAAAGAACGAGATGCTATATAGAGCTACACCTCTGCCTGACTCAAGTCTTCCATAAATGCTACCACTGTCAGTTCAGAATCCATGGCTTTTATTTAAAAGGTAATTGGAACAAATGTGTGAGTACTGGCTCCTAACACCAGTGACGGCGGTGACATTTCACCTCCAAGCCTCTCTAAAATGCGTGGACTTGCCTTTGCTGTATGTACCAGCTGTGAACCACAGAGGAAGGAGCCTGCTGTCACACGTGATCACACACAACAGTCTCTTTCCCCCTCTTTGCTCTCTCTCCCACATTCTCCTTCCATTTTCTCTGCACCACAGGCCACAGAATCAAACCTACTTCTAACATGGTGTCTTTTTAAAAGTGTTCAGACAATGTTCAAACAGGTTTCAATTTTTAAAACTTTTTTCTTAAGGTTATCAAGATATATTAGTGTTTTCTTGGACCTCTGGGTGTAAATTGTGAGGATCGTGGTATCAGAGTCTTCTTATTGCAATGTGTTTTGCCTCGAAGTTAAACCACTGATCAAGGCACAGATGCTTTCCACACCAGATACCAAACCAAGGGTGCACTGTGTTCTAACATCGTCTGCTCTCTATGGAATATGCATAACTTCTCTGGGTAAATATGCCTCCTCAAAAGGCAACTTTGTAGCCCTGGTTAATTATGCAAGTTATAAACGTACTGTCTGGAATTTAAATAAATACGCAAGCACAAGATTATATATTTGCTTTGGATGCTATTGACTTTCTAGGCGGGCTCCTCCTTTGGGCCAGACCAACACTTGCATGCATTAGCATCTCTTTACTGCTGTGACTGCCAAGGGCAGCCTTGTGCGCTGTGTGAAGAAGGGTGACTGCTTTGGGGGAGGGCCACTTAGGAATATGACACAAATAAACCTCAGGAATAGAAACGAGGACAATCCTTCCTAACCGGGCTCTGCAAAGGTTGAATTCATGTCCCTATAAGACAGCCTCCTCTAGTTCGGTCTCCAGGATGGAAAACGTTGCTGAGATCTAGTATTTAAATATCTGGGGTAATTAAGATTATCGGTCAGCAGGAATTCAGTCTACTTCTGATCTTCAGATAAAATGTCATTCTGATCTGATTGTTTTTGTGGGGTTTGGGGGTGAGCGGTGCTAACGTTTGGCATCCTTTGCTCCTGAGGATGATAGTGAGAACTGTTATCAGAGAATTCTCCAGAGGGGAAACCTGGATGGAGAAAAGGTTGAAGGGGCTTGTCCGGTCAGACGCCGATCGAGAATGAGGTCCAGCCGAGGCTGAGAGACTCCAAAGACCGCACTGTTCTCCCATCCCACCCCGCTCTGCCAAACAGAGCCTGAGAGTGACTGGGAAAAGAGAAGTTTCTTCCTGTGGATTAACACACAACACAGTCGGACCCAAGCCTCAAAGAGGTGCCCCCTCCCAAACGAGGGACAAGAGGCCTAACATTTTAGCAGTGCTGCAAACACCTTGATTGTGAAGACCAACTGCAGATGCTCAGCAAATTTTGGAAGGCAGTGTCCTTTTAAAGGCATCACTGAGCAGCCAAAAGTCCTCAGAGGGAGAGGGACAGAGGCAGGCTGAGGCTATTGGCCCCTAAGCAGCCTTGAGCAGGATGCTTCACTGGGCACAAACCACACCCAGGCCTCCCCAGCGGCCTGAGGAGCCTTCTAGGTTTTTGTTTTCTGTGGAGGGAAGGGTTTATTCCGCTCACACTTCCATATCAATGTTAAGCGCTGACTGGAAGTCAGGGCAGGAACCTGGAGGCAGGAGCTGATGCAGAGGCCATGGAGGGGTGCTGCTTACTGGCTTGCTCCCCATGGTTTAAGTGCTCAGTCTTCTTTTTAGTTATTTATTTTTTGAGCAGCACGGGGCACAAGGAACAGAAGGTAAAGACAAAGTCTTTCCCAGGTGGAGCATCTAATAGAAGATTCGAAGACTAAAACTCATTCCCTCCATAAGAAGTAAACCTGTCCTCAAAGAGGGGCATTTGTCTGACTACATGGAGAGAAAAAAAAATCATACCTAAGAAAAAATCCATAACCACAACAGGGCCTTTCAAGGAACTGAATCCAGCATCAAATGACCCACGTGGCCCGAACATCCTGGGCTGAATATTTTAAAAGGGTCTCAGATTGACAGTGCCCTAAGGCTACTGGAAAAAATGAACAAAAATCTTTTCTGAAGGTCTGGAGAGATGACCTCAGTGTTTGTTAAAGCCACACAGGCGTGAGTACCTGAGTTCAAATCCCCAGAACCCTTGCAAAGCCGGCTGCAAACCCTTTGCTCTACAGCCAGACGAAGACAGGGACCGGGCAGTCCCTGGAGCGCTACTTTGGCATATGCTGTGCAAACAAGAAGAGGACCTTCTGACCCACACATGCAACATGGCACACATGCATCTGTATTCACACACATAAAGCAATGGACCTTCCATACTGAGTTCACTCTCAAAGGAAGGAGAGGACTCTTGCAAGTAAGTACTCCTTTGGTCTACACACACACACACACACACACACACACACACACACACACACATAAATAAGTATAATTGATAAAATTTTAAAAGGCATATGTAAAAAGATTGAAGCTGAGCAGGATCGTGACCTCTGGTAACTCTGCAGGCGTTCTCAACCCTGCTCCAGTCCTTAGCTTCTAAGAGAGGCAAGCCTACAAATGTGCCCCTCGGAATTCTGCGTAGCACCAGACAGCCTAGACTGTGCCATGCTGCGCTCATGCAAGGCTTGGAAGTGTGCAAGGAGGAAGCTTTAGCTTCTCCTGTGGAAGTTCAGTGTGGTGGAGACGGAGCCAGACTCCACAGTCCTCCTCCGATTACCAAGTGCAAGACCTGGAAACAGCCGCTATGACATGTAGCTTGGACCACAAACTGAAATCCAGAGGTGACTCCTTCCCTCCTCCCACCTGCTGTTAATGCTTCTCAGCATCATACTCTGCCATTCCCATCTGCATCTCTCAGACAGATTCTAACTGTGCTGTGTGCTGTACAAGTCCACCACGACAGTTCCCAGCCATTCCCGAGCCTAAGATTTTAGGGGGTTTGTCCCTCTTACCTGTAGCACAGCAGCAAGGAGGTACACTACAACGAAGACAACAGTCAGAGAGGTGTGGCCACTCTTCATCAGGTGAATCGTGTAGAGGAAAATCAAGTGGCCGGGAACCACCAGGAGCAGAAGAACTTGGGCAGACTTATTGTTCACACCTGTAGGTGAAACGCAGACAGCATTAAAGATGGCAGTGAAGGTTACCGCTGGGGATGCAGCTCAGCTGGTTGCTGGTCTAGCACTCACAAGGTTCAAGACCCAGTACTGGTGGAAAAATAAAGTGACCCTAGGAACTGGGCGTGGTAATCCAAGTCAGAGGACAAGCGTGGGTCTCTGTGACCCCAGCACTACGGAAGCTGAGGGAGCAGCAACTGAGTTCAAGCCCAGGCCAGACAGTGAGACCCTATCTCAGAAAGCCAAAACAACAAATTGGAGGTTACGTTCTCATTAGTATAGCTCACAGTATTACATCAATTCAACTGCCAAGAATAAATCCCATTTACAATTCACATAATTCTTGGGAATTCCACTATTAGATGCAATTATAAAATCAAATAAAAAATGGTTGTTTAAAAACTTATTTTGAGCCAGGCATGGTGGCACATGCCTTTGTGCCAGGCACTCGGGAGGCAGAGGCGGGTGGATCTGAGTTTGCAGCCAGCCTGATCTACAGAGTGAGTTCCAGGACAACCAGGACTACAGAGAAACCCTGTCTTGGGGAAACAAAACAAACCTTGTTTGTGTCTATCATAGAAACAGGAGGAGAGCGGGATGCTAACTGCACGCCTTCTTTAACTTCCCATCACTGGTACTAAAAGGACAAGCTTGAGCTGCTCGGTGGTTAGGAGCACAGACTGCTCTTGCAGAGGACCCATGTCGGGCTCACCACGTTCTATAAGCCCAGCTCTCTAGGACCTGATGTTCTTTGCAGCCTCTGAGAGCACCAGGCATACCAGTGGGACACAGACACACTTACAGGCCAACACCCATACACATGAAAGAATGACCTCAGCTTTTTGGCGGTCACGTATCTGTTCATATAAATTGTGTATTGTTCCCCGTCATTGGGTTGCCTCCGAATGTCCTATTTCAGAGCAAATGCCCACATTTTAAAGGGTCAAAAGGCAATAACACAGAAAGGAAAGTCAATCTGTCTGTCCTAAGTCACAGGTGCTTTGTATTTGTACGTATGGTTCCCCTTTCTCTGTCTCTTCTTTCCTCCCTCCCTCCCTTCTTTCCTTCCTTCTTGTTTTTTGTTTTTTCAAGACAGGGTTTCTCTGTGTATCCCTGGCTGTCCTGGAACTCGCTCTGTAGACCAGGATGTCCTCAACTCAGGGATCAGCCTGTCTCTGCCTCCCGACTGCTGGAGAGATGGCTCAGCTGTTAAAGGTTGGGCCCAACCAAAAATAGATATGGTTCCTCTTTCTTAACCAACAGAGACAGGAATAAAGAGTGCAAAGTCCCCAGCTGCACACACGTGTGCACGCACGCACGCACGGGCTTGGGGAGGCAGAAGGCCTTTGTCTCCTGAGATTAGCTCAGCACAACATTCACAAAATATCAACTCAACAAATTTTGCCCCCAGATCTCAGCGGGAAGCAGTTCCTGACAAAGCCCACACAACCTACCCCACACTTACCGGAGCCGAAGAACGTCCTAAACGGGTAGGAACACCCTGTGGGCTCTTCGGGCAGCTCTCCAGGGATGCTGTGTAAATGGAGGTAGGTAGAAATCCTGCTGGCCTGAATGGCCACCAAATTGCCACCGATACCTGAGACATTGGGAAAAACAATCAGTCATATTCTTGGCCTCATCAGTCACGTTCTTGGCCGATGAAACAAAACTTTTCCTGAAGTGTTGGTTTCTTTTTCAGATAGATAAACCAAAAATCACTATTAAAAAAAAATCACCCTCATTATTTTCAAATCTGATTAGCTGTTGGAGGTGGAAGAACAGCGAAATGGGTAATTTATAAAAATCATTCTTGCAATCACTTCACAGAACTAGGTAACAAAATATTCATGTTTGTCACCTTAATGAGAGAAGAAATAAGCTAGATTTATTCAAATTGACAGGCTTACTACCTTCTCAGCTCACGAAAGAAAACAAATGGGGAGCTGAATAAGATTACTTGGGGACATCCCACATTCAACCTAGAAGCGGCCTCTCCGTGACTCGGAGGCGGTAGAGTTGAGGTGACATGGGACCCTCAAATCCTTTCTTCACTCACAGTCAGTGAGGAGCAGTAAACACACAAATTCCAAATTCTAACACCCTGCACATGGGCCAGCAAAGCATAGAGAAGTTTGCTAGCTAGTGACCCTCAAAGGTTTTCAAAAGGTGTTTCATAGACACAGCGAAGAAGGATCTGAGATTAAAGCGCCACATTCCAGATCTGGAGCCACACAGATCCTCTCCTCCTGTGAGGTGGAAGAGACGCTCCATCTGCCTGGTTCCAGGCAGCGTACTGTTGCTGAAGGAGGAAGAAATGAGACAGCTGACAGCTGGAGGCTTGATTGCCAATGGAGGGGAGAGAGAAACGCTGAGAATGGCCGCCTCTCAGGACCAGGTGTGGGGACTGTGGAGATGAGGGAAGAGAACCCTAGCCTACGTCAGTAGGCGCGAGACCAGCAGCGTGCTGAGGAGATGAGGGGAGAGAGCCCTAGCCTACGTCAGTAACAGGGAGACCAGCAGTGTGCTGAGGAGATGAGGGGAGAGAGCCCTAGCCTACGTCAGTATCAGGGAGACCAGCAGCATGCTGCCACAAGAGAAGGACAAGGCCCACTTCACGCCATCCACACTCAGCCACACCAAGAGGGCGGCAAGAGCCCGCTGATGAAGAAAAGCCAAGCAAGAATACTGAGGACCCACAGTGCAAGAACTGCCCTAACCTCCCTCAAACAAACAAAGATCTGCTCGTGTCTGGGCACAAATAATATTTACCTGTTTCCAGTGGTCTTTTATATACAGCGTCAAGCATTTAATAAAACTTTACAAGTTAGAAATAAAAGGCAACAAAGAAAACAGCACATTGTGGGAGTTAGGACGTCAGACAAACCAGACCCAGGGACGCTTTGGGTGTTGAGATAATAATTATTATCATTTGCCGTTGGATCTCTTGCAGTTCAGACTGGCCTTGAGCGTGCTATGGCCTTGAACTCCAGCTCCACCACCCCCAAATGCTGGGATGACAGGCAATGGCCACCATGCCCAGACATGCCCAGATCCAGGGACTGAAACTATCTGACAGTGATTCTAAAATAATTATGGTTGGTGCATTAACAAATCCATCGGGGAAAGTGTATGTCACACAACAAAAGATGAAACACGGGTGAATTAAAATATGAAAAAATATATACCAGACACACATAATGCTTAAGAAAACTAAAGAGGCAGCCTCAGTGTCCAGGGGAAGCATTGTGACTGGGAATATTCCTAAAAATACTGTGACACTCAGCACCACCAGACCCACCTTCCAAAGCACCGGCGAGCTGGCTGCTCACAAACACAGAACGCAGGCTACAGGACACATCTGAGTCTGGAAGGACTGAAACATGTAAGGCTGCAGCTGAGTGCTGCAGTCTGGAGACTGAGGTGTGAGGGCTACTGGAGCCAAAATCAGCCTGGGCAGCACATGCCCGACCTGTTTCAACCAATAAGAAGGCCGTCAAGGTTGTTGACACCAGTGGGTTACCATGTGATGTTGTGATACATGCTGTAACCTTTAACTGTATTTATCTTAAATGTTTATCATATTGACACCAAATACTAAAATCAGAAACATTAAAGATGACTTATCCTGGCTTTTTGAAATATGTGTTATGTGCAGTCATCTCTGTACAACAGCGCACAGGGTTTCCCGCTCTAGCGGGACTTGGTGCCGTCCCTACCCCCTACTGCCGCTCTCCCCGGCTGCTGGGGACCACGATTCTACGACGTTAACTCTCTCAGATTCTTCTGGCTGGCATCCCATAGGTCCTGTCTATCTGTGGTTCGCTTGTTTCCTTCAACACAATAATCTCATTTCATTTACTTCATCACAAGTGACCCGACTGTTCTCCTCTGACCTTCAACAGTGTCCCATTGTTTGTTTCTAACGCATTTTCTTTATCCGTTCACCCACTGACACGCTTAGATTGCTTCCATTCCTCAGCTATTGTGAAGAGTGTTTCAGTAGACAGGGAAGTGCGAACGTCTCCGACATCTTGATTTCATTCCCTTTGGAAATGTCCCCAGAAGCGGGACTGTTGTAGTGTGTGGACACGTTACCTCTTTGAGAACCCTTTATACTGTTTTCCGGAGTGTGAACTACTTCACATTCACACTGACAGAACACAAGGCTCTTCCACAGTTTCACCGCTACTTTTCTTTCGTCTCTCCGACAACAGCCACTTTCTGGAGTGACAGCCTGGGTCACTGTGGCTTTAGTTTATGTATCTCTGACTGGTGCTGCTGGCCACGTGAACCTCTCGGAAGAACTGTCCATTTAATTCCCGTGCTAGAACTGGGATGATAACATGAATTCATCGGGTCTTCACCGGAACAGTCTTACACTGGTATGTGATGGGATCACACTCTGCTGAACTCACTGTTAGATTTCTTCTTCTCACACAGCAAAGTGAATAGCTACACAGGCTAAGGCTGCTGTTCAAACTGGTACTGCCACCACACAGGAGGTCAGTTTGCAGTATGTGACTATTAGAGGGGGAGACTTCTGGATACGAGGAGTGAAAAACATTCTCGGAGGGTTTCCGAACCAGGTGCTAAGGGCCGGCAGCTCTGATGAAGTAAGTCCTCAGCTGGGGACTGTCACTATGGGGGTTTGAATGGGAATGGCCCCCCACAGAAGGATCAATGTTTGAATGATCAAAGACCCACCCTCTGAGACTGTAGGCGAGTCCCCAGTTCAACGCTCTCTTTTATGAGTTGTCCTGGTCACGGTGCTTTGTCACAGTGGCAGAAGTAACTAAGATCTGCACTCACTGGGAACCCCAGTGTCTCAGGGCTGCGGGGCTCCTTGCTTTCTGATCCGCTTCTGGGGCTGCTGCTGGAAGACAGATTCTTTTCTGGACACTTGAGGAGATGACTTGGAGGAACCAGCAACAGGCGAGTTAATGTGTGTGGGGAAAGCTAATGTTAGCAGCTTCCAGCTAAGCAGCGGGCCTTGGAATACATAACATTCACAATTACTATTTTGGAGCCAGATGTGACAGCACACGCCTTTAATCCCAGCACTCAGGAGGCAGAGGCAGGCGGATCTCTGAGTCCGAGGCCAGCCTGGTCTACAGAACGAGTTCCAGGATGGCCAGGGCTGCATGGAGAAACCCTGTCTCAAACAAACAAACAAACAAACAAACAAGATGTTGTCTCAAAAACTAAAATACAAGTTGAGAGACTATGTCCGACATCTAGTGAAATCTTGGTATTCAACACATTGTAATAAAGCTAATTTATGGTGGAAATAAGAATTTAATTCTTTTAATAATAACTAATTAGAAAGAACATAAATAGAAAAACAATAACAAAAGCATGAACTTGCCACTTTCCAGCAGAGAAGCTAATGAGTTGTTAATGTTACTGGACTAAAAATAAAGAAATTTGTGTTATTTTTAAAAGCTAAAACTATGGCTTGATTTTAAACTAAATTTAGCTTCATAATTTCATTTTTTCATGTCATTTAGCAAGTAATGAATTTCACTAGAAGCAAGGGTCTGGTTTGGTAGTGTGCACCTGGAATTATAGCACCAGGGAAGCTAAGGCCAGAGAATTCTGGGTTCAGCTACATAACAAGGTCCTGCCTCAGACTGACACAAAAAACAAGATGATTTAAAATGTAGCTCTGAGGGACTGGAGAGACTGCCTGACGGTTTAGGGCTTGTACTGTCTTTGCCGGGGACCCTCGTTCGATTCCAGTACAATGTCAAGTTTAGGGCTCGTACTGTCCTTGCCGGGGACCCTCGTTCGATTCCAGTACAATGTCAGGCCCCAGGGTCTCTGACACCTCCAGCTTCTGTACACACCTGCGCTCACATGCAAAGATGGTTCTGTGCACACATAAATGAAAATACAATAAATTTTTAAAAAAAAAACATAAAGAAAATGTCATTTAGGACCGATGAGATGGTTCACCCCACCAAAGTGAGAACTTGATGACCCAAGCTTGGGCCCCTCATGTATGTGCAACCTCAGGTGTTTGAGAAAGGGTCTCTTTATTGTCATTGTTTTGTAACTGTGTACCCTAGGCTAGCTGGCTACAAGCTTCCAGAAATTCTCTTGTCTCTGCCAGAGGACAGCCAAGAACACAGGTACACTCTATGGCACCCAGCTTTTATATGGGTTCAGGGGCAAGTCGAATCCAGGTCTTCGACATGACACCCACTGAGCTCTGGCCCCAGCCCCTGCCTAAGGGCTTCTCTGTCAGGAACTTATAACAACCATGCCTTTAAGTCTGGAGTTTCCTAGTCAGAGCTCACCTTTGAGAGCCGACAGCGAGAGCGGAGCGCCCCATAACTAGCATGAATTGTACATGTGCTACATACTACGTACACAAGGACGGTAATTCATTCCCCTAATAGTGAATTAATGTAGCCCAGCAGCTGGAAGTGGGGGTTCATTTGTCCTATAGAACTGAAGCACTGCCGCCGAGATTCTGGGGAGCAGAAAGGAAGAAACTGATTAAAAGGGGGCCTTGTGATCATTCATGGACCTCTGCTCACAGTCTCTCAAAATGCAGCAGAATCTAACAGTAAGAATGTATCTGATACAATGCAG